GTATGTTTGGCAACAAATGACTCAAAACAACTTTTTCGTTTAAATAGCTAATATAAGAATCAAGAAACTTAAGTTAAAAACTTTAAACTTTTGACCCAATTTTACAACATTAATTAGATTTAAGTCCAAAATCATTTCTAACCAAACATGTTTATAACTTTTCTTTGAGTCAAAGTTACAAAACAACTTGAATCATTTACTAAAGGCCATACCGAATGGAACCCAAATATAGAAAGCAGATTATCACAAGTCCTTTTGTTGCAGAGCCTATAATTGATATAACCAATTGCAGCTTTTCGCTTGACTGAAAAATCAGTTCACCCATACAGAGCCTATTATTGATATAACCAATTACTCTACTCTGATAAACTATCTCAATCTCTCACATACAGCATGGAAAGTGAATCTACATGTCCAGAAACTCCCACACGTTTCCCAAAAAATTACGCAACTCCCAACACGCTTATTCATATTTTAGGCATCAAAAGAACAGGCGTGTCTTCATCCACATCCAATCTTCTCACACAGAGACATGTAGCCAAAATCAACAGTTAAAACAAGACGATCATATCACAGAGTGAGAATCGAACACCAAGCTCCCGGGTCTTTAATCGCTACATGTATGACCATAAACTAATAAAACTCTCTTTGAAGCAATTCCCGACATAATTCCCTAGCGAAGCGCCGATTCTCATTTTTATTGTACAATGTGGACGAAGCTAAACGCTTAGCTCAACTGTTTTTCTTCCAGTGCTAAAATACAGATTCTCACTGTAAATATTAACTTTTTTAACCCAAAACAAACCTCCACAAACCTAGATTCTCCTTAAAAAATCAATAAAACCTAACATAAATTAAAATTCAAGTAAAGTGAAACAGTAGAGAAAGGGAAACAAAACCTTTTGCCAGTAATATGACGGAGGCGAGCGGAGTCGCCGATGGAATTGCCGTTAAGACGATCCTTTATTGAAGTCTTCGCTGCAGCGTCTACGCGATCAGCATACATAGTTAAAACCCTAACCCTAATTTGGCGAATTGCAGAATTTTAGAATGTGATTTTGAGCACGAAGAGAGAGATGCAAAGCCTATCAAAGAGCAATCGCTTCTTTGTTATCGGGGACGGTGGGATTTAGAATTCTCGGAAAATAAATAAATAAATAAAAGGAACTGAGATTTATTGCTTAAAGTTTATTTAGATTACTTTTTGTGAGAAAATAAATAAATGTTACTGCTGAATGCTAATTAAAGACGTGGAAAGGGCAGGAGGGACTGTAATGGAAATTTATGCTTTGTGTTATTTTGTGTCGTACCCATTGTTTTTAAAACTTTATAACTTGATTTATGAGTTGAATGACGGTAAGGTGGCTAGTGTACTTGGTTTTTTTAATATTATTTGGACAGAAAAAAATTAAAAAGAATCAATTATATCATAAGCAATCGAGGTTTTTTAACAAGTCAAGACTGGTCAATTTCCTCTGAGATATTTTATGCTTTCACTTATTATTATTTTTTATATCATATTTATTATTTTAAAATTTAATTTAAAAATTAAATCATAATAAAATTCATGTCATGAGTTAAAAGAATTAACTTGGTTATTTTAAAAAAAATTTAAAAATGATCCGGAGTTAAAAGAATTAACTTGGTTATTTTAATTTTTTTTTTAAATGATCCAAACAATATTATTTTGATAGAAAAAATTAATATATTTAACTTAATTTTACCCTAATAGATTATATCATAAGTAATTTGATATTTTTTGAACATGTTAAAATTGAGTTAGTGCCCTTGAATATATATATTTTTAATTTAAATTAATTTAATTAAAAATTATGTGAATTTTAAACTAATTCAGGTTTAATAATTACAAGTATTGCTAATGCTTCATATAATGGTAGGAATTTGTTCATAAATATAATTAAAAGATCCAATTTGGGGCTCAATTTTTAGCTTATGGTGATTTGGATGATTAAACTTAAATTGTAAATTTAAAAAAATCACTTGAGTTCTTTTAATAAATAAATAAAATTTATAATATCATCATTTTGGTTAAAAAGTTCCATAAAGAAGTAAAACTTTAATTTAGATAAGGGTTTTATTACTTAAATTTAAGAGTGTGGTTATTATTGTTTTTTAAAATATTTTTTATGTTAAAATATATTAAAATAATATTTTTTTTATTTTTTTAAAATTAAAAAATCAAAATAATCCAAGATATATTAATTTTTAATAAAAAAATAATTTTTTTTAAGAACTCAAACATTCCCTTAATCATCGAGTCTAATTATAGTTCTAAAAATAAAAAAAATAAAAGGGGAATATGAAATACATATTTATAGCATAAATTATACAACCGAATTATTTTACATAATTGTATCAATTTTAGTTTCAAAATAAGTTATTTAAAAAATTGCAATTTGGATTAGTATGGACGTACGCATTTTAAAAATGATAAATTTCTTAGTTAATAATTTCTAAAGATTGAGTAAAATTATTACAAAAACAATTATTCGGTGACAAAATTAAGTTGACCCAAAACAAAGAAAGCCTGAGCGCTGGCCCGCGGCTTGTTGCTAGAACAGTCTGATTTGTTTACACAACCGAAGTTCACTGCTTCAGCAAGTCTAACTTGGGCCAGTGTTTTCTAGCAAGTGCCGAAGCAATTTCTTCAAAGCATATACGAGTCTGAAGTTGATTGCCTAATAAAATCACTTAGGCCCACGCAATTTAAAGCCTTTAATACCAGTTTTAATACGGATTAACTAAGCCCAAATATCCTTTTCAGCAGATATACAATAATTTTTTTAAAATTATTTTTAAAATTAAAAAATCAAAATAATCTAAGATATATTAATTTTTGATAAAAAAATATTTTTTTTAAGAACTCAAACATTCCCTTAATCATTGAGTCTAATTATAGTTCTAAAAATAAAAAAATAAAAGGGGAATATGAAATACATATTTATAGCATAAATTATACAACCGAATTATTTTACATAATTGTATCAATTTTAGTTTCAAAATAAGTTATTTAAAAAATTGCAATTTGGATTAGTATGGACGTACGCATTTTAAAAATGATAAATTTCTTAGTTAATAATTTCTAAAGATTGAGTAAAATTATTACAAAAACAATTATTCGGTGACAAAATTAAGTTGACCCAAAACAAAGAAAGCCTGAGCGCTGGCCCGCGGCTTGTTGCTAGAACAGTCTGATTTGTTTACACAACCGAAGTTCACTGCTTCAGCAAGTCTAACTTGGGCCAGTGTTTTCTAGCAAGTGCCGAAGCAATTTCTTCAAAGCATATACGAGTCTGAAGTTGATTGCCTAATAAAATCACTTAGGCCCACGCAATTTAAAGCCTTTAATACCAGTTTTAATACGGATTAACTAAGCCCAAATATCCTTTTCAGCAGATATACAATATATATACAATATACTCAATAGTACACAGGATAATTAAGAATAATACAGAACAAGAAAGGGAGGGGTATTTTATCATCTTTTTAATAATACTCCCATTCATAGTCTAATATCCATTGATACTTATAAGTTTAAAGATCATAAAAAAATATGGAATTCAAATGAACTGAGGCGGTAAATAAACAAAAAAGGTAAAGGAAGACAAATAGACATTCACATATAATATATAATTTTATAACACTCTCTAGATGTATTTTGTACAACTTTATATATTGAAACTGCCTCGTTAAAAATATTAACAAGAAAAATAACTAAATAGAAACAAAAAGCTCGGTTAAGAGAAAAAAAACACAATGGTTATTAACCTAGCATCAATTTTCTCTCGTGAATTTATCACCTTAAATCTCTAAGTTGTTATATTCCAATATTACATCATAATTGTTATATTCCAATATTACATCATAATTTTTCAAACATTATTATTGGTGACATTTTAGTGAACAAATCTATTAATTATCTTTCAAATGAATTTGTTGAATATCGATATCACCATATTTACCAAGGTCACGTATGAAAAAAAATTTAGTAAGATAACTTCGAGGAATATAGCTCAACTAGTCAGCCCTTGAATTTGCTCTCTAAAAGTCACCAACTCAAGTCTCACAAACCTTAGGGTCATTAAAAGCTTACATGGTTGTTAACTTTAACAGCTCGAGTCTCATAAACCTTAAGGTCATTGAAAGTTTACATGGTTGTTAACTTGCTCTTTAGAGGTTACCAGCTCGAGTCTCATAAACCTTAGGGCCATTAGAAGTTTACATGGTTATTAACTTTAGGGTTCAGGAGATTAGTTGAGGTGCGTGCAAACTAATCCTGATACCCACGTTAATCTAAAAAATAATAATTTAATGAGACGTATTCAGTTCTATCTCCTCTTATATATCCTCTATTTAATTGAGCTATATAGTCAATATTATCTTTCATATAGTATGATTAAAGTTTTTATGTTATGTTGGAGGATAACCAAATATTCCTTAAATATATTAAGTCATTAGTCTTGACCATATACATTTTCAACATGATCAAACTTATGTTTTTTTTATTAGATAACATATTTGAGATCGATCTTTATATGGATCAAGTAAATTTCCAGTATCAACGTGCCAAACTAATTCATGATTAATATTATTTGAATAAAATAAGTCTATATTTATAGTTTCTCATATGTAATGAAAAATATATTTAACTTTATATCAATATCTCTTAGTAGGTGAAGAACTATATCTTTCTAGAAAATTCATAAAAAATATTATATTAGGTTGTAGGATGCAAATAAAAATAAAAAAAGTTTAGCAGCTAAAATAAAAATACATAAAAATCTAAATTATTCAAAGTTGAAAAATACTATGTAGATGAACATAGTTTTCTAAATCTCTTAGTTTATTAGATAATATTTATTTATTTGTGCTAATATTAGTGAAATTACTATTTTATTCTTAGAAAAAACATATAATATCATGGATATTTAAGTCTACACATTTTACGTTTCTCTTCTTGATGTTCATGTTGACTTAAGAAACTACTCTTTCATTTAATACAGAAACTACGCACAGTTACATTTCTATATATCATAAATGGTGAGGAAATTAATGAAGGTTCAATATTTAAGCGAGCACAAAATGAAGAAGGGAAGGCAAGGTGAGAAAACTCAACGAAAAACATGGAGGGGGTGAAGTTGGTGGAGAAAGTTGTGATTGTACCAGAGATGCTCACAAATCGAAGGCGAATTTTCTTATCAAACTTAGACTTGCCTCTTGTTGCATATCAAGAATCCGTTTCTTTTTATGATCCTCCAGAGAACAAAATCAGCTTCTCTGAATCTTACAATACCCTATACCGTGCACTCCGTTCTTTGCTAGTGCCTTACGACTTTTTTGCTGGACGGCTTGTGCCAGCTTTGGAAGATAACAGTAGGTTGGAGATTGACTGTAATGGTGCTGGTATTGTTGTTGCTGCAGCTAGAACTGACACCAGATTGAGCCAGCTTGGTGGGCTCTTTGCACCCAAACCAGATTTCAAACAGCTGGTGGCTTTCTTGCGTGAAGAGGGAGAGGATGAAATGGAGTTCAAAGACAAGCCCCTTCTTTATATACAGGTTCAACTCCTCCCATTACTTGTTAGCTTTTGTTTTTCCTTTCCCTTTTCCATCTTAAACGTCTTACAAAATTGATTTCTAGGAGACATTTTGTTCTGATTTAAAAGTTTATTCTTCTGTTTTGATAGTTGACACAGTTCGGATGTGGAAGTTTAGCACTTGCCTCCCGGTACAATCACTGTGTCTTGGACGGGGCTGCTGCCAGGGATTTTGAGAAAAACTTGGCTGCATTCACTCGAGGTGATGATTTGGTCATAGTTCCAAATCCTGATCGAACAATCTTCAAAGCTAGGAACCCACCAAGAATTAGTCACCCACACCATGAGTACTCCAAACCCAGTGAAACTAGAGACAACTTTTTCTCAGTTGGAGGCAAAAGGTGCACTGATGTCATGCACTTTGGTACTCCACATAATACGACTCATTTGATCCATATCCCCCCTCAACGCATTGCCAGCCTAAAAATGGCAGCCCTCAAGGAGGGGAAATTGAAAAGGTGCACCACTTTTCACGCCATAGCTGCAAAGGTATGGAAGGCAAGGAGCATTGCAACAAAGATTCATGATGAGGTATGTAGCACAATGTTGTTTCCAGTTGACGTGAGAAAAATTGTGGTGCCACCAGTTCAAATTGGATTTGCTGGGAATGCTTTGGTTCCCGGATGTGCACGAGCAAGTGTGAGAGAACTCAAGGACAAAGAGGATTCTTACATTGTAAGGAAAGTGCAAGAAGGGGTAGAGAGATTCGATGATGAGTATGTGAGGTCTGGAATAGACTGGTTAGAGGTTCACAGAGGAATGCCTTGCAATGAGAATAGCTTCTCATTAGTGGCATGGTTTAGGCTGGGGCTAGAGGAAGATGTATTTTCTTGGGGGAAACTTAAATATGCTACTCCAGTTGTGTTGAAACCTGGTTTGGTCTTCCTGTTGCCTGGACTAGAAGGTGATGGAGGCCTTAATATTTGCCTGGACCTGCCTGATGATCAAGTGGACGAGTTCCACAGATTATTGATGGAATAATTACGAAATGCATACGTTACTTGGCTAGCAATTTCAAGTTGTAGCTACGCTTGCAGTGGCTTAATTTGTGGTATATCAATAAAAATGATTAGAAGGAGAGCTGCGCTGCATTAGACTGTAAGATTAGCACGCGCACACACACACACACTCCAATGTCTTGTATATTTTCCTCTTGTTTCGATTATCTCCAAGTTTACAACTTGATTAAGAATCGAGGAAGTAAACTGATATAACACCGATTATGATATCTTACGCACGGGAGAGAAGTCCAAAGAAAGGATTCGACATTGCAGACTTTATCTCCAGTCCTGCTGAGTTTAGAACAGCCAAGTCAACCTTATCACGAGGAAGAAACAAGAATTCGTCCTCGTCGATTCTTTCAAACCCACATAGTTCAAGAAACTCAATGCCTCCTCTCAATCTTCCAACCCTACTCTGCCACCATATAAGGGGAAAATTATTAGAAAAATATCAGCAAGGGTTACTCATCATGGTTATAAAACTTGATCCAGCTTAACAAGTCAAACCGGTAACCCGTCAACCCAGAACTTGTCTCAGGCAGGATTTTATTCCCAACCAGATTTGTTTTTACCAAAATATCATAGTTACTGATAGAAAAATAGAGCACTTCATCACACAGTAGTGTTTATAGACCAACATGCAAGTTCAATCATCTACTCTAGAAAGAAAATTTGGATATATTTGAGCTTTCTTTAATGTGAATCTGATGCTAAAAACATGAAACGCATAGGAAGACCACCGAGAGGTACAATGTGAAGTTTTCACAACAGCTGAATGCCTTCACAACCAGTGCTCAACGTGAATATGACATGGGATGCAAAGTTCTTGGTCATGAGCAAGAGGAAGTGCTCAAACTGTGTTTGATGCTGTTAGCCGATGGATTATTCAGTATGCCCGGACTTGCGGTGACAGTCCATCCCAATGGTTCAGCCCAAATTAATGGAAAAATTAAATTCTTCTGGAGTATATAAATGGTCTCAACATCATCAATCAAGTAAGTGTCTGACCTGGAATGATGGATTACCCATGCGAATTTTCCTGAATTTTTCCATGTCAGGATTCTGTGCAACATTCCCAACATATACAAGAAGAGTTTGAAAGGCCCTTTTGACTCTGGCATCGTCATCCTACACCAAGAAAAAAGAAGTTCAGTCCTGTGAACCAAACACAAAGACCTTGATTAAAATCAAGGATTGGCATCTCTTTTGCCTTTCTACCATATATGTATACGTTAAAGAACAGAAGTCATTTACCTTGTAACTGCGCTTGAGAGACCGTAAACATTCTCTTAACTTCTCTACTTTTGAGACAGAGGCAACGCTGACATAGTTCTGCAATTTAAATGTTATCACGAGGACACTATATATGTACCAGATTTTCTTTTAAAACAAAGGTACAGTGGGACATTTCCGCTCTGTCTCCGTTATCCTTGTGTCTTCTATCTCAAGATAGTAATCAAATGCCAATTAAAGATCTTAACACCACACCTTTTTATCATCTGTGGAAGGTTTAGAAAGTTTTGTAGCTGTGTGGCTTACTGATGGCAATCCAAGCATCCGCCTTCGTTCGTTCTGTGAAGAAAAGCAGAAAGCTTTCAAGGCCCAATAACAAGAAAATGTTCACGAGTCAGAAGAACGGCTTAATTCTGGACTGAATCTATACAATGAGGATCAAAATGAATCATAAGATAGATGATGCAACATTCTTCATGACAGTTTACAATACTAATCCAAAGGGATGACTTCTTAAATCAATGCTAATAAACCTGGAATTCTCTTAACTATTCAGGGATCATCACTTGCTTTCTCACATAGCAGACGACCTTAATTACCAGGTGTCCCTATTCTGCTTCTAATTACGATATACCTATAATTTTATGTCTTTCTTTCCTTTCCTTTTTCCTTCCTCCTTTTCAAAGTCTGGCAAGGACAATACCGTTATGAGACGAGGATAGCTAGGACAGGGGACAGGGGACATGCCCAACTGTCTTTTTTTGTTTTGAAATGACAGAAACCCACTTCAAAACTGTTCCATCCTTCTAACCAAGGCTTCTGTTCCTTTTATATCCGTCTCTTCTATCCCACGACACTAACCAAAAACAATATGATAGCAACTGATCATGCACAACCTTGTCTCATACACATTGAGTAACAGAAATATTTCTTGATGTGGCAACGGAAACCTTATCAGCTTCAAGCTTCTGACGAACTTTCTCCCTTGCTCTTCTCTCTTCCTCTTTCTCTGCTTTCCTCAAGGCTAAATAACTGATAGAAACAAATGCATTCAAAGGTTCAGACACAGTACAACAGAGAAGGGACAAACTAACATACACTGCAATTCACAAAGCAGCCACAGGTTAAGAACACACCGTTTTCTTTGATTATCCTCAGCAATTCGCTTTGCCTCAAGGATTTCCTTACCAGCTCGAATCCTTTCCTGTAACACATTTAGCAGCTAGAATATTTCGCAAATGAAAAGGCCCCATAGAAATCTAAAATCTATATAGCGAATCACACCATGTGGAGCACACATGAACTCACAGATCAACAGGGAAAAGAAATACGAAGAGAAACAGCTTTGCTGCAAAGAGCAAAGCAATTAATATTTACTGCAAGGATGATGGACATATAGTTGAAGCAAGATCCTGGTAACAAGCAAGATAAATGCACGGTACCTTCTCCCTTTCTCGTTCCAATCTCTTTTCTTCATCCTCCTTCTCCTTCCGAGCTTGATTCCTGAATTCATAATATTTTTTTTAATGAAACTAAAAAAAAAACAAAATGGAAATTCAGATATCATATTAAATTATTTATACATGTTCGCTGAATGTAAGGTAATTTTTATATACTTGAACATTCCTGGTGTCTGAACATTTTACTAAACAAAAAATCTCTTATTATTATACAATAAATCATACTTTGGTTTTCAAAATTCCACTCATTGAATTGGAATCCCTTCATATTCTTTAAGGAATATCACCGTTATGTTTATTATATCTAAATTACGGAATTTAAACTGAATAGTCATGATTGGTATACATGATAAATATAACAATAAATGTTTAATTAAAACAAATATAACAATAAATTAACTTATAATTTTATTCCTCTCACTTAATCCAAATCATTAAATTCAAAATCAATAATAAGATTTGAAATATAATCAACCATATTCTTTTAGTAATAAGATAGGATTTATGACATGAAAAAAATAAAGAAAATTATTGTATATTAGTATATATGATAAATCATTAAACAAACCTTAATTCTTGTGCTTTTATTTGCATTTCCTCCGTAGTTTGAATTGGCTGAGGAGAGTCGATATCAATGTTCACTACTATCTGGAAGCAAATTCTAGACACTAAATATGCAAGAAAGAAGAACCGATCACCAAGATTTGAAAAGAAAAGAAAAGAAAGAATCATGCCAGGGGCATTGGATCGATGCTTGGTTCATTCTCGTGATCAACGATCCAATTTATGGCAGCTTCAATGTCAGTATTGCCTGAAGAAGAAATATTTTCAACTTCATATACAAACGTAGCTCTAAGCACACATCGAAATGCCAACAGTGTATTCAAAAAAGATCACCAGAATAATGAAGTGCTTTCGCAGCTTGGATCCGTGGGAAACCCATGTCTTCAAGTTCCTTAAGCAATCGCTTGTTTGCTTCCACGACATTCAATTCTGCATGAGAGATGAGACAGAAGAATATACGTAACTCAAGAACATGCTAGCTACTTGTAGAGAATTATATTCGATTATTATGATCAAGTGTGGCAAGAATTAGCAAATAATATTATAGGAGATATATTCAGCATCCTAGCTAGGAAGGATGGCTCCAAGTCACTCGGATGATCAAGATGTTTTGGAAGCTCTGAAACATGAAAGAGTGATAGATTTGTATAAAGAGAAGAAAAATCTTAATCATTATGAATCATGGTGCATCGTACCCTGTGGAGACTCCATTGAATTAAGGAGGTGCCTTTAATGGATTGATCAATAAGTAGGTGATGTTGTAGAAAGAGAATTAGAGAGGTAGAGCTAGCCAAGCGTTGTAAATTAATGGCTCGTAGCTAGCTGGTTTCGTTTAGAACTTAGACGTACGTCAGAGAAGCCTTGCAACCCACGCATTGTAAAGAGATTGATTAGATAGCTTTTTTGGATTCCAATCATGGACAGGAAAGCAAAACACTAGCATGTTCTCTCTTCCTCTTCCTACCCTTTTCCTCCACTTCCCTGTCAAGGAAAGAACCCTAATTTTGACCGGCAAACCTTTCCGCCGCTTTATTGAATGAATGTCTCGCTCATTTATCCGAAAATTATTTTTAATATTAATATATTAAAATCATCTGAAAATATTAAAAATATATTAATTTTGAATAAAATAAAATAATTTTATTTTAAATTTTTTTATAAACACTTCAAGACAATACCAAAAACTACCTTAATCGAACCCTTCAAAGAAGTAATTAAACTCTCTCCAAACCAGGCCTAACTGAACTTTATCTGATCCAAGCTCAATCTATCCCTCTCCTCCTTGTCCATAAGCCAACAATCAGTAAATCACCTGACCATGGTCAATTGTCCAAACAAACCTCTACCTTCTTTCTCTTAGTTGAACCCTTCAAAGAACTAGCTGAGCTTTTTCAAGGCAAAGGCAAGTCAATCTCTTTCGTTGGCCAAATCCAATCAAACCCTCTCTTCTTAGCCCAACTAAACCCTCTCAAATCTTTAACTAACCAAACTTTGTCATTCTCCCTGGCCAATAAACAATCTCTTTTTAATTATCTCAAGCCAACATTTTCATCAAAGGTTATTTTTAAGTATGTCACGATCACTCTTTTCACCATCAACTATCTTTAAACTTGATTTCACTCCAAATTTTTTAGCCTCTCACCCTAATGTGATACTCAAACACTACCTTATTCATCAATGACAAGACTAATATATTAACAGATGACTTAACTTTTTTAAAAGGTAGATATTTCTCTTCATTTTTGTTCATTTCACTATTAAACTTATATGACCCCTGATATTTATAAATACTATAGATCACCAGGTAAGAAGGGAGGCCAAGACATGCTTACTCAAGCTAAAACATATGTTACTTTCCTGTTGCATATTCTTTGTCTTCACACACATTCCAATCCTTTTACATTTGCTAATTTAAACATCAAAGGGCTCTTTATCCTAACATGAAACTTGTTTTACAAGAAAACTCATGACTTGTGATGTAGTCACTTTTCTAACCCACAATCATAAATGTAGTAAGCATAATCTTGTTTGAGATTTTTCACAACTTTATCAAGTTATATCCAAGATTTAACATTTAAAGATACATTCAACATTTAACATTTAAAGATAAAATAAGGATTTGTACAACTAGAAAAATGTAACATTGTTTTTAAGAATTTTAGTTAGAGAGTTACTTACACATTTACACAACTAGAAAATACCATAATTTTCTTAAAACATCTTTACAATAAGGTTATTGCTCATTTTTAATTACAGAAAATATTCAATACAAGTTCAATTCTAGATCCATTTTTCTACCTTGATTTCATGACCAAGTTTTTTCTAATCAATTATAGATGAGATGAATAGAAAATCAAAAGAAATATTTAATCCCTTATCTGAATTTGATATTCAACCATATTTATTAAACTCGATCCAAAATTTAAGTAGTGGATTTGTTAAGTCAATCTAAATTAATCTAAAATAATATTATTTTGGATAAAAATTATATAAAAACAAATTTACATTAACATCGATAGATTTGTCATAAATTTAATCAGGTTAATTAATTTTATTATTTAAAAAAAAAATTAGATGTACAGGCTTGACATTGCAAGTCTAAGACACCTAGGCTCTCTTTTTAAGCTAGATATGCATCCCAAATCTCTAGTGTCTAGCCTCTTTTTATATCATTCCTTTTTTTTTGAATAAAACTCATTATGAATAAAAATAATTAAAACATTGTCCAATTTTGCCATAGTTTTCATATAAGATTATTTTTTTTTATAATGATAGTGGTAGTTATTTTATGAATTATTATATATGAATATGCAAACTTTATAAAAAAAATAAACTAATGAATATTAATTAAAAATACAATATTTATTTTTTCATATATTGTAAATGTTTTATATACATGGTTTTTATAGATTAATTATTCTCTCCTTTTGTTTTATCATCTATAAATTATTCGGTCTTGATTTTTTAAATTGAACTTTGCTTTTCAAATTCATGATAAATTTTTAATTCCAAAAAAATAAAAAATATATTTTCATCAAAATAAAAATAAAATAAATAAACGAGAATTTTGATTGAAATAGAAATTTCATCAAAATAATTTTCCCCTATTAATAATGATTGAGATTCTTATTAATATTTAAATACCATATTGTTTTAATAAAAACATGCTGCTAATAAAAAATATACGGTTTTCTAAAAACTTAAAATAAATTAATAAAAAATATCTAATAAAATATATTTTTTTATAATTTAATATTTTTTTTTATTACAAATATATATTTTTATTACAATAAAATTAATTTTAAAAACTACCTCACAACATTACACATACAAAAATCAAAAAAAAAATAATTAGTATTTAGCAAACATAATCTAAGTAACATTTAGTTAGCAATTTGTTTTTTTTATAAAATTTATCTTGTTACAATTATTATTTTTAATCTAAAATAACCTTTGTTTCATTAAAATAAACTCAATCGAGACGTGTTAACCTGCAATTGGTAAACGAATCCTTAAACAGGGTTATAGATCAGACCGGATCTTATGTAACTGTGGGGAGACCGACACCCAACGCACGGTCCCTCTAGAAACAACTTTCAGACACTTCCAGAAAGAAATCGTTAGAAAAAAAGAAGCTGCCAACTCAGACAGAATTGAGGTGTTGGCGAGAGAAGCATTGATGCTCAAACAAGAAGATTGATTCTATTGAGAAACAGACTAATCAGCAAGAAACTAATGTCATCATCAGGAAGCAGCAACAAACCAAGAACGGTGAAGTTACGGTGCCCTTCTGCGTCCAGCATAGTGTCCTTCTTTGCATGGGACGAGCAGAGACTCGACTTGGGATCTATAGCCAGGACTTTTGGTTTAGACCCGTCAACGCTGAAGCTGAATGGTTACTTTATAAGTAGAGGGGCTGATCTTATCTCCTCCTCTGTTACGTGGCGATCGCTTCTTAGTTTTTTCTCTGCAAAGGGTTTGTCTACTGGTAAAGATGATAAGGAAGCTCTTATTGTAGATGGCAAGCTCTCCAAAGTTGGGACTAAGCGTAAGCTCGTTGCAATGATTCTTTATTTGCTTAAAATATATTTTCAAGAACTGTGAGTAGTGAATTGCATGTCTAATCTGATTGTAAAGAAAACGCTGAGTCTGTTATGAGTAAGATTGTTTCGAATTTTTATTAGTTGCTACTGAGAAATTCTGGGGAGAAAGAAAAATTGAAACTTGATTGGTACTTTTTTCTATCAGGAGAAATTGGTTTCTTGTTAAACTATATTTTTTTAGAGGGCAAGGTATCCTCGTACCAGCTTATGCGTCAATGGAGATTAAATTCCTTCTTTGAACAATCTTAATGGGGCTTCTCCAGTATCGAATTGATATTGGCCTGTGCATTCAGAAAAGTCTGTAGTTTACACATTGACGTAGTATTGTTCATTGCCATTCATCTTAGTACCATTTCCTTCGTCAAAACTTAGAAACTTAAGAGCAGACTGCAGTTTAATTGACACAGATACCATTGGCACAGCATGTCTATTTATCAATAAGATAATCATGACCTGGAAGTTTAAATGCCAGCTATTTATCAGATATTCATAACATGCATGCATAACTTGATTCTTACCTTCCCTCTCTTGAGAGCATCCAATTCTTCTGGTGCATCCTCCTGGAGAAGCAATGGGACTTGCTCAGGAGGAACATCTTTTGCTGGGCTCTTGATGGAAAGATTTGCATCCTCAATATCGAAGGTAACTTCCGGTGGAGGCGCCAGCATGTTAAATACGTATGTGTATAAAATGATTGCACCAACCTGGCATGCATCAACCAGAGCCTAACCAGTCAACTTCATGGAAAAAATATCCTCGTACCAGCTTATGCGTCAATGGAGATTAAATTCCTTCTTTGAACAATCTTAATGGGGCTTCTCCAGTATCGAATTGATATTGGCCTGTGCATTCAGAAAAGTCTGTAGTTTACACATTGACGTAGTATTGTTCATTGGTTCTGAGCTTTTGGGATTGCCTGGATGAGCAAAAATAAGGTTAAGGAATCGGTGGCTATGCAGCATCTGTATGCGTTCTAAATTTTTGTTATTATTGGATGTTTTTGATAATCAAAAGTGGTATCTGAAATGTGTATTTAATGATTAAACTTGTGTGTTTTGACTATAACATTGTACTAAATGCTGCTTTGGTTGGAATTGTTTGTTCTCAGGGGCATATGACCCCCAAAGCGCTTCAAGTAGGAGTAACTACAGAGCTGAAGTTGAGGGCATTGGTGTGAGTAATAGCAGGCAACAGCGTCAAGATATTGACTCGCTCATGAATAAAAGGATGAAAGAAAGCAACTCGGGTAAGCAAAACATCTGGCCTTTGTGCACGGTGATGATTTTTATTGAAAGATTTAGAAGTGCCTATTTGAAGATTGCCTCTATTTTGCCAAATCCCTGATAATGGAATAATATCAATTTGATTTAGAAAACAAGAACCTGAAAGGAGTAGCTGTGGCACTAACATTATTAAAAATTTCTGTCTTCAGGATGTGATGAAAGTTATCAGATGCCCAAATGGAATGGCCATGGCTTCAAGAGGAAGCGGTCGATAGAACTTCATGTCAACTTGCTCAAGAAGTTGAAAATAAATGGAGCCAACTCAGGTACATGTCCAGACTTCAGAGGTGATATCCTGTCAGTTTCATCCTGCACCCTGGATTTGTGAGGCTTTTATGAACATCTGAAATGATCATCTCAACACTAGCGCTGTTGTTATCGCCCTTTCTTATTCCAGCTTTTTAGTCTTTCAAACTTCAAATACAGTCAGCCATTGAATGCAGTTGCATGAGTGGCAATTTGAAACTGATGAGAGAAGGTGATCTGATTCTGGCTGCTCCTTGCAAGAGAACAAGATGAGACTTTCATGTTCTGTTTCTTCTTCTTCTGGCAATTTTCACTAAAATTTGTATGTGTGTGTGTGTGTGGGAGACGTTAAAATTTATGGACTGTTTGATCAGTCTCTTCATTTCTGACACTGGCTGCACTCCACTCTGCAACTTCTGAAAACCTCCTGACGTTAGTTTTTAAAATCATTAACTTGGAAGAGGTACATATGAAACTTTCAATGCAGGATGAAAGTATCAATCAAGATTGGTAATGATGCATATGGGGATGATTTGCTCACCAACATGATATAAAACAGATTGCAAAAATACCATTTAATATAGAACCTAAAAAATGTATGACAAATAGGACAATGATACAAAACTGGCTACAATATGTGATTTAATGGTAGAAAAGATCATTCTACACATTCCTAAGCATGTTTCTTTTCGCATCAATTACACATTGGAGATCTCGAACTTAGTATTGCCAAACAACGGCGAATGCAGCCACTAACAAGACTTTTAAGTCTGACTTGGAATTCATCAATGGTGATGAATCTGAAAGCTTGGCAGAGAATCTGGACAGCAGTTCAGACGGGGAACGGATTTTACAGCAGCTGCAAATGGACAAACGAAAAACAAAGATCAGGAGTCGAGTAAATGAGCAACCAATGGGAAAATGTTAAAGAATGAAAGATGGTGTCACTTTCTAGGTCTTGAAAATGATTAGCTCAAAACAGAGAAATGTCTCGGATGCTACAAGCATACTTTAACGTGTGGATATCATCGCGTAATTGATATCCGATCCAGAAATTTAAAATTCTTGTTGATTCACCGGCATTTAGATTGTAAGAATCGAATCAATTCATGAGAGAGAGCCATTGGTAGACCATATCTATGGACCATACTCCAGTGAACATACAACGAAGACAATCCAAGATAAGGTTACCTTTACTGTTAAGAAACCTTTCCTTCTCTCCTATTCATCCTCATAACGCACTCAGCAGCGATCCAAAATACAGTGCAAACACCGTGCAAGTGATTGTGATGATATTGTCGGCATGCTAAAATCAGGGGTTGTAAGAGGCACAGGCAATGCTTTAGTGTAAGAGAAAGCATGATTCCTTTCCTGCATCACAGATCCATAATCAATCAAATAGCTTGGATTGTCATCAAGCACATTGACAAATAAGAATGTAGAGATCATATCACCTGAAACTTAGACAGCAAGGGTGGCTTCCTCACAGAGACATTGCTAGGGAAAAACATGGTTGCGTGGAAGTTGGGAAAGCTTATTGCAGCTGACGGAATATTAGGTCCTTGATTAGCATCTGGAGGGTATTCAGATATGTGCAAAAAAACCCTGTTGACATATCATACAGCAGATGAGAAACACATTTTGGCTGTATAAGAAACATTAGGTCCTGTACCTGTGCATGTTGTTATTACTGACAGTATGTTCTTCCATTCCACTAGACTTTTAGTATCTTTCTCTGTGCTTTAAATGGCAACTTGCAGGTTAACTAAGAAACGATATCCAAGCAAGTCATTGACAACATTTCAAGCTAATTATGCAAAAGCTGAGAGTAACATTGCAGACGGGAAATTATAATCTATTTGCCGTTTGCCACTGTTTCTACAGGTTGGTTTCTGAGGATGTTATAACATTTTATTACACCTGAATTCATTCACTAATTCACTCTAATGTCCCGACTCAAACTCGAAAGCATCGAAGTGCTAAGCCTACGTACCTTATCGATCTCTAATGCAAAGCTGCTGATTACACACAACAAGGAAGCTTCAGAACCTCTCAATCATACCAGGAGATACCATGTCTTTGGAAGACAAAACATGTATCTTTTCCACAAAAGCTGGAGAGAATGATAATCAACCCTACTATTTTCTTCATTTGAGTACCGTATAGGGATTTACTGACAAGTCAAAGCTGGCTTCACCGCCAAACCCTCCTGAGGTCAACACAGTCAGCTCCATAATTTTCCTTTTTCTTCAGTTCAGCCACTAGACCCCTCTCAACCTGAAGATAAACATTACTAGACCTAGCTAGATCACATATTCCACCGACTGTCCTCCCAAAAATTGAACTCGAAGACCAGCTTGGTCGATGAAGATATGATTGGCGAGTTTGGGTCACTGATGCATGAGGATTTTTAGAAAAAAGTATTTAGTTTAGGAATTTTTTTTTTTCTGTTTAGTTTAGTAGGTGAAATATTATGTTAGACAACAAGACAAAATCTAGGAAGAAGTTTGGACATATTAAACACATAATTTAACAAAAATAATTATAATTTAATATTCAATTATTCAATGAGGCGCAAATTTTATCAAATGATTCTAGCTAATAAAGTGTAAAAGACTTTCAAATTAGACCTAAAAGATGTTATAATTATTTTTTTCTTGGTTGGTTTTAGATTTTATTTATTTTTCTACCCACCTTCATATTCTTTTAACAAGGTCAATTTTGGCCTTTATATAAATAATTGTTGTTTTATTTTTTTATGAGATTATTGAACCACATACTTTTTCAAAAGACTATAAATTTAGAGCTCGAAACTATATCTTGTGTGATACCAATTGTCATAGGTCTATTTTCTTATCAAAATTTTCAACTTCTATGTGATAGTTTTGTCTTGTTAGACTCAATTTGTTTTCTCATTAATTCACTAATATTTATGTATAACTAGTTTGTCCCACAAATTTAAGAGGTTTCCTACACCTTTTCAATGTTGTAAACAAGCAGGGTACACAAATAAATATGAACATAATATACAAACTCAAACATGATAGATTATAGAAAAACTCTTAATAAAACTCTCAACCTTTCATCAACTCTTAATAAAAAAAAATACACAATGTCCATCTTGTATACTATACCCATTTTGATACCAATTGTCATATGCTTGGATTTTTCTTGTCAACATTTTACAGCTCTTATATGGCAACTCAACTCCCTGTCAGGCCAGTCTTTTCTCTATTGATTCACTTGTATTTATCTAACAACTAAATATTTCTCCTTACCAAAAGATTTCCCAACACAAAACAACTAGAACACACAAGTAAAAATTTGTGAAAAAAATCATAATTTTATATTGAATCATTAAATTGAGTTCAAATTTTATCGAATGATTCTAGCTCGGAAAATTTGAAAGATTTTCAAATTAGGTCTATAAGATGTTATAATTATTTTCCTTTTTAATTATATTTTAGTTATTTTTTCACTTAGCTTTGGATTCTTTTGATTAGATTAGTTTTAATCTCTATATAAATAATTGTTGTGTTATTTTTTCATGAGATTATTTAACCACTTACCTTTTCAAAATACTATAACTTCTTTATAGCTTGAGAATTCTATTTTTTATTCACATTATACTGCTTCATATAACATCACAATAAAAAAAAAAAGTAATTTAGATATATATAATGAATCACACAGAGTATCTCCCATGAAATTGATAATTGAAATTATACAATATATGAGAGAACTTCAATTGCAGTCTCCTTACATATTCAGGATTTAAATCTCTTTATTTATTTTTTTATTTTATTTTTTTTGCAGCTTATACATAAATATGACAAATTAATCGTCACCAACCGTTGTGCTCTTACTGAGGGCACTCTGGGGGAGGTGTAGGGTACCTGGGCCTATCAGAACAATAGTCATAAGTCAAATACTTCTTCCTGACATTCTCATATGCCCTCTGATGGGCAGAGTCCAGTGTCCAGTACTTTTGGGTATTCCACCAGTAGCTGGTCGAATAACATGGCTCGACGTTTGGTTCTTGATGATCTGAGCAGCCATTAATGTCAAATCCTTGGAAATGAGCTTGAAATGGTGCATGGCTCCAATTCGTCTTTGTCTGGCCTCCGTCTGTCGCCCAGCTATCTCCATTCCACAAGCTTGCCTCTATTTGCATTGGCTGTGAAGGGTAGCTGACTCCAATATTCGTGTGGTTCTTGAACACTCTTATGGGAGTATCATCCACGTAAAATCTGATATATGCACAGATATTAGTAAGATATATCGCTATATATTTGGAACCGGATCGAGATGTTAATCATACGGATTAGAAACTAATCAAGAGATCCCAGTACTCTTACACAATCTGGTATTGGTTCCACAAGATTTTGTAAGAGTGGAAGTCAGCAGCTGGGTCGAACCAAAGATACATCCTTTGCTCTCTATTCCCTTGACCATTTGCAAACACGTTTGTCTGTAGTGTTATTGGCTTCCCTTCCCTGTTTCCCAAGAACTCAAAGTCGAGCTCATCGTGATTATTACTGTGTGAAGTTAGCTGACAGTGAAATCAGAAAGACCATTAATTATAGATTATTAGATTATACATCCTTGATATGATCATCATTACTGTAATGAAGGGTATATGATAAGAAAATTGATAAAATTATTAAGTCTATGTACTGACATAGAATGCCGTGACAACTCCTGCAGAATCCTTTCCCGGTAGCTTTATCCTCATGTCAATGAATCCTGAACCAAAGCTTAGCTTGGAACCAAATCCAGCACCTATATATGCATCCCCACAACAAATCAAATTGCATACATGATAAAATTATTCATATATAAATTGTTAAATAAAAATGAAATTATGCAAGTTAGTAATTTTTGTAACAATTTGTATAAATTAATTATATTATATATGTATTGAACGGAAGGAAATAAATATTAGTATTCAGTTCGGATTTAAGCCTCTTATTTTGATGAATTGTTTCCATGTTCATGCAAGGATAGCCATGAATCTGACTCCTCCATAAAGCATCAAGCAAAGTCGCTCCTTTACATATTCCTCATTTATGAAAACGAGAAGGAGTTTTGTGTGTGTGTGTGTGTGTGAAATAATTAAGCCTTAAAATAGGAGGAAAATAATCATATTAGAAAAACGAGAATTTTACATTAAAAAAAATAATTCTCAGCTAGGTAAAGCTTGTATATATACGTGGAAACACGAGTCAAGAAATGACATGGTTTAGTATTTTGATGATAAATATTTTATAGCTAGTATAGCTTTCATGGAGGAGAAGAAAGGAGACCGGAAGAATGATCTAACGAGAGCTGAATCTGTCTTCCTTCATCAAGGGATTTGACATGATCATATCCCCAAGTGATATCGTAATTCTGATCAAAGCTAGCATCACCTCCATTTCTGCTTGCAAGCACCCCTCCCATGAGGAGAAATGCAAGGAAACAACGGAGACAAAAATCCATTGTAGCTAGAATTCTGCAATTCATTGCTAGCTAGCAAGCCCTTGTATATGTTTGCTCAAGCTTGTGTTGATGAGTCCATATTTATACACACACGTATGAGAAATATGGCTTTCCTCAGCTGTCTACAAGAGCTATGAAAAAAGCGAAAAGCTGTGTATGAGAGTTGTCATTTCTCGACTTCTCCACACGCTAGTGACTTGTTCATGCACACAACCCATCATTGTAGCTAGCACTTTCTTATTTGGAAGCAACTTAAAGCAAGATGATTGCCATTTAAAGCACATTGTTCTATCAGTTAATTAAATGTGGAAAAGACTGGCCGATTATCACAAAAGTCTGGTTTCTTTTTGCTTAAATTTGCTTATAAGTAATCTATTTTGTTTGGATAATTTCCTAGAATAGAAAATACTGATAGATAAAACATGTTTGATTGAAAACATAAATAAAACAAATATGTTTTATTTATTTATTTTGAAACATTACCTAAATTAATTAAATGCTATCTATATATTGTTAAAGTCTAAATTTAATATTTTCATTTATATCTTCAAATTACATGTGTATAATTAAATATTAATAATAATACTTGAATTCGTGATTTAGTGATCCTAGTCCTGATTTAGTGGTCCTAGTTCATGGTAAAGAGTTTCTTACCTTAATATTTAGGTTCAATTATCTTTGTATACATATGTTATCTTCATGGTAATTTAATGTAGTGAATCTGAGGATTAGTCGTGATGCATGTAAACTAATATATACACCATGGATTATGAAAAAAATATTAATAATATTATTGTCCTATCATGTATCTACAATTATTCACATATTAGTATAAATACATGTTTTTTCTAAATGCATGTATAAATATTAATAATGTTGTAATTCTATTAATTATGTGTTTAAAATTATCCATAGAGTAGTATAGATACATGTATTGAAACAATTGTAATTTAAAATCTTCAAAAGCATACGAAAGGAAGTAGTTTCCTACCTGTGCACTACAACACTAGTCATAGCTTGTGGTTATAAATTACTGTTTTAGGAGGGGAAAAAAAGATAATAGTAATAGAAAAGATATGGTTTTTTATATATTTTATGTTAGAATATATATATATATATATATATATATACACACAGACGTCATTTACTTCAAAATTATTATATACAATATATATATATATATATACATATATCTTCTCCACAAAACTAACATTTTTTTTTCCCAGGAC